AGCATATTTAGAGTAACTAGCATATTTAGAATAACTAGCATATTTAGCAGATATGTAAATAATATATAAAGCACAAAACATTTGTAAGAAGAAAAATAATCCACATATACTCTAATAAAGCATACGCTCTGCCAAATCCACATCCTCTTTTGTAGTAGTATTGTTTAATATTATACAAGCCATCCTGGGGTACCCTATGAATAGAAATTTTTAAGTGAGTAATTATTCAGAGTATTACAAAATATAAAAAGATTGATATAATTTAGTTATTATAATTAAATTATATAATTATAAAAAAAAAATTGATTAAAAGAAACTTTTAAAATCTAATTTCATTTATAATTTTATATTAGTCATATAATGTTTAAAACATTTTTAACTATAATTTTATTCTAGTTTATATTATCATTATACTGAATACTGCAAAAATTAATTATTTAACCAGATTAGCTAAAAAATTATTTGACTAATTTTTGTTAAATATTTAAAATTTATGATAACAATTATTTTCAATATGTAATATTGTTTAAATATATTATGCATTATTATTATATTATATTGAGTTACATACATAAAAATCATTTATCTGTTATCATATAATTAATTAAACACAAATTTATTTATTACTTATAATAAAAAATATATAAATATTTTTAAATAATAGTTTAAATAAAACCATCAATTAAATTTTTTAAAACTTAATCATTATAACAGATTCTTGATTTTGATTAGTTAATGATTGCAGATTACAAAATTTTGAGTTGCATTATATAATTTACTAACTTCTAGTTGTAATAATTTTTTTTTATTACAAAAATAGAAATTTAGAAAATAATTTTGCATTATAATAAAATTTGTCTAAAAACAATAATAAAATTCTAAGAAATTTTGACTAAACATTTTGTTTATCACTTTTAGACAATCAAAATTGAGAATCTGTCATGAAATTTATAAAATAAAATTAATAATTTTTTTTAATTGCATGAATCATAAGATAAAATAAAAAACTTTTATTGATTTTGAGTATGCAATACATAACATTACTGTAGTAGTTATAAAACATATCATGTTTGGATTTGATTAGCCAACTTTGATAATCATTATTACATGAATTTTAAGAACTAAATAGGTGATTGAATTCATTTTTTAAAAAAATTTAATAAAATTTTGAATCAGGTCAAGTCAAGTTCAGTTCAGGTTAGGTTGAAGCTCTAACTCGAAAGTTGTCAACCTAACCTATTCAGAACACTATATATAATATGTAAATTTATATACTTAAATATGGGATACAGAAATACAAATACTATGTTACTATAGCAAAGTATATGAAGAAAGTTAAGATTATGGTTAGTTGTTAAATCCTTATCAGGAACAGTACTCAAATTAACTCAGTACCAACAATCCATCTAAAATGGTATTTTTGTTTGAATCATAAACAGCAGTTCATTTACATAAAATTTAGAAGTAATACATAGCACAGAAAAAGAAACTTGTAATACGTATAAAAGTAAATCTTACAGAATAATTTCACGTGCTGTCTAATAATGTGCAAGATGTTGTACAGTTAGTTGCATCAGGAGGGACCATCAATGTTACACGACTAATCCTTCACCCGGTATGCAACATATAAAAAAGAATTTACAATACCAGATTATAAAACCAACACCCATTTTTATTATAATAAAATGTTGTTGGATTATAATCATAACATGTACTAGCGAAATGATCTGGTATTGTAAAATAATTTTTTATATTGTCGTCTCGGAATTCGGCGAGTCTGTCGCTAATCTAATACAACTCTCGCGTAACCTACGGCGGCTAAGTCGAAACAGGCATGTTGGATTTGGCGTAAGTAAGTACTGGTCTCCTCTGTTGAGTCTTTCCTTCAACCTATCCTTTTCTAATTCTTATCTTCCTTTATGTTCGACCCGGGATTACACTTCGTCGAATCGGAGGTTGAAACTCTTCTCTTTATGTTTCGGGTACTGGCACGTGACTATGGCAAACGATCAATTACGGGTTTAGTTGTTCTTTGGTGGACAGGTAGCGTTAGTAACGGGATTTAACGATAGTTACTGGTGTTTATAGGATAACACTTTCACTTTTATTGTGGGTCGGGTAGTTTTAGTTTTTAGTTTCGCAATTGTCATCCCTTCCTTTTGCCTGGGCGAATTGCCCTTTATTTATAATAAACTTTCTTGTCTATTACATTATGAACTTGTCTAGTATATCGAACATATCTAATTTATCCTATATATCGTATCTATATTATATATCACTCTTATGCGATATAGGGTGATAACGGTCACGTTTTCAGGTCTCACAATATGTTACACACCGGTGAAGGATAAGTCGTGTAACATCGACGGTTCCTCATGTTGCTAGTTGCCTGGTATGATTTAGTATCATCTGATTTTAGCGTCATCCGATTTCATCTAATATTTATCTTCAAGTTAAAAAAGCAACTATAAGTTTGTCGTATATTTAAACCCTGATTTTTTGGCCTTCTATAAGATATTAACTATATAATCCTTTGACAAATATTTCATATCAATATTTATATATTTATAAACTATCTATTTTTTGTTATAGTTCGTCTATTCGTATTATCAATTTCATCATTGTCAGAGCTAATTTATTGTCTTTTTAAACTTGGCAGTGACACTTTACCTATTTAGCAACCTATGACTTCTACAAAGGTCAATCATAAATATTTTTCTTCGAAGCAGTTTTAATACCTCAATATAGAATATCCATATATAATAATAAAGAACAACAATGGATACCACTAATAATAATAACAACATGGAATTTACTATTTTAGACGTATACTGGGCTCAGTCTGGACTTATTACTTGGGTTACCATTTCCTCCGCACTTGTTCAGATGTTTATTGATACCGTCAAGGTTTCTAGAACTTGCCTTCAAGAAAAAGAAGAACAGCCAGAATGCAATAATACTACTAATAAAATTTTTCCATGGTGGTTGATAGCATTGTGTAGATTAGCCTTTGCTATAATACAAAATGCAATTGTAGCTATAGTTATTAGTTATGATAAATATGATACTATGCCTTGCCCATTATGGTGTGGTGAAAAAATATGTCAAGGCCAATTTGGTATAACCTTAGGTTTTTGGTTATTGTTAATACTTTCTAAGGCCTCAATTGAAGATTTAGGATGCAGAACTAAAAAAAATATAGAGATAGCTGTTAAAATATTCTCTATGCTTGTTGAAATTGCAGCAGATGTTTTGGTGATTTTTTGGCCAATTCTTCAATGTCAATCGGAACCTAAAAAATATAACAGTTGGGAAATATATATTGTTTCAATACCTATTGCAGGAGGCTTTTTATTTACGCAAATTTTGCTTAGATATTTTTCAAAATCATTAAGAGCCTTTTATGTTTCAATCATATTTTTGATCTCTCTAGTTGGTGCATATTTAGTTGCTACACAGGCTCCTTTACTACCAATTTTCGGTAGGGATATTGGAATAATATCAGGAGTAGCAGCGTTGCTAATACCAGTTATGAAAATTTTTGAAACTTGTCAAAACATTTATTTAGATTAATGCTTTTCTCTTTTTAACTTCCAATTCGGAATTAATTATCCAATTACATATGTGTAATAAGACCAGAACTTTTTAATGTCTAAAATATTTAAAGAGAGTTACAGCTACAACAATAAGTTTAAATAATTATAGCTATTAGATTACTATAGATATGATATAAATTATGATAATTGTATATTTATTATTTGTAAGATAAAATTATTTAAAATTATCAAGTAACATATACGTACCAAGAATGTGAATACAATAAAGCAGTATTTGCAATGACTTCAGCAAAATCTTATATCTCATCGGATGACGTGACGCATATTATTGAAAAAAACATTAATTATAACTAAATCTTCATGATATAAAACTATTACCAACACACCTTAAGATATGATAGCCGGTTAACTACCAAGTTAACTGGATATCCGGATTATACAGGTTTCACATACTAATTTATACATCCCTATCACGAACATTCTTTTAAATATTTAATAATTAACGTTAAGATTTATTATGTGGGGTACGTTATTGATCGAAATGTACGAAATTGGTATGCGAAACCTGTAAATTGATAAGTGGGTTAATAATAATTAAGATATCCAGTTAAGATACATAATACCTGTAATATAGAGATACAAATCATCTCATCAGCTCTCTTGAAAATCATTTTTTATTGCAATTAATCTCCATATGTCGTGACTACAAAACATGTGTTAACTAGTATAGTGTTAGTTTCGGTTGCTTTTTTTCTTATTGAAGAAACTATATGACACTAATTAACACATGGAAGTTGACATCAAACTGGAGCTGCAACTTCTGTTGACTGAAGTTGCACTTGACTGAAATTAGCCTGAAATTAGATCATCTTGTACGCATTAATTAACAATTTTAAGCAGTGTAGCTTCAGTCGAGTGTCAACTTCAGTCACGACTAGTGCTCCGATCGGGTTGACCCGAATGACCCGAAACCAACCCGGTTATAATGAATTTACTATATGGGTTATGACCCATCTAACAAATTTATTATAACAGGGTTGGTTTCGGGTCATTCGGGTCAGCCCGATCGGAGCACTAGTCACGACTAAGGATTGCTCCGAAATTTAAAAAAGGAAATTAAAAATACTAATTAATTATCATGTGATATTGTTGTAATTTTCTTTTTTGAATTCAGGGCCATCCTTAGTCACGGCAATACTTCTTGCAAAGCACAATAATTAGATATAACCTCTATAAAGAAGTTAACGTTACCCAAACCGGTTTCAGATTTTATTAAAGCTATGACCTTTGAAATAAAAAGTTAACCGCGTACGATCACTAGGACTATCGGATCTGAACTTATCAAGCCTTTACTATGTTATGTGTTCACATCAATGCAGCAATGAAGTGCATCGTTTATACGGCACCTGGAGTAGTCTCTGTATGCAAAAATTTTACATCTTATAGTCAACACAAAATATGAAATTATGTGCCTAATCCTCGTGATGTAATATCATAAATCTGTTTGTACGTACAGCATTAGTATATACCAGGAAGGAATGATCTATAAATACGTATCATAAACCGTATCTGTATAGTTGTTGGCGTTTGAAATGAGCGAACATTAACCAAAAATAAATAAGGCTTTAAAACGTGTCTAAAAATAATACTTGCTAACTTTATGAATCTAAAATTATACTTACCCAAAATTAGTAGATAACATGTATGATAAGATCTAGTTTTAAGTAATAATTCAGTTAAGTGCAACCTCTAGATTAATAATATTGGCTGACTCTGACCCATCAGCCCGGCGGGCGGGTTGGCTCGTAACTCGTATCTTTATGAGCCGGCTTGGGTAGGGTTAACATTAAGTGCATTTTCGCCACCATATGCATTATCCAGTGAGATACTGAAAATTTTGAACAAAACCTATTAAAATGCTATCTTCATATATTTACATATCACTCCGCTTTATTCATAGGCAGAAGTTCGTCTGATTGGTTAATAATTTCAATTTAATTTTACATTATTTATACAGTTTCATTAGAGCTGTAGACTCCATAGTCAAAAATAAGACCCAATTCTCGTCCGTTGAAAAAATTAGCTTAGTAATAAGTTGATTTTATCGGGTTTTGAGAAGTTATTACTATACTAACTTTTTTAAACGGACGAGAATTAGATCTTATTTTTGCCTATGGAATCCTACAGCTCTATGAAACCTTATATACAGCTTTTTTTTCGTTAAGATTAGTTTTGTTTTTTAAAAAGTACTCTAAACTGTATAAATAATGTAAAATTAAATTGAATTTATTAGCCTATGACTACTTTATTGCATAAACTAAATTAGATACTACGGTAGTAAATTTTTTTTTTTTTTTTGAGGAATAATTTTTTACTTATCCTACTATGAATTCCGAAATTCCAAGAATTCGTACAATTTTTTTCCCCAGCGCACGTAGTACGTACGTAAACATACAACTACGTATCGGTATAACTTATTTTAGCAGAGTTTATCTTATGCCGTATTTGGGAAGTTCAATAAATTTAGAAAATTCGTTTAGAATTCATAATAATAAAGAATGAAGGGATTTATTAATGAATTTTATATAGATTGGTATTACTTAATTGTATGATAAGTATGAAATTTTGTTAGTTTGAGGAATATCATTTTGCCAAAAACTTTATTATCGTGCGATGTAGACTAATTATTGATACGTATTAATTCAAATTTGTGTAGACCTAAACATCGTAAAAATTTCATTTTTATGAAGTTAGATTTCATGTAGCTCATGAAAATAAACAGTAAGCCTCTAACTTTTAATGAAAATGAGTTTTAAATTTTATGATAATATACACAGCCTTTGCTACTAGAATAACAGATACTGTTAGATATCCGGAGCGTAACTAAAAATAAAAGTATATATTGGTTTACATTAATGTTGACCTATCTAAAAATAGGTGTGGACATAACACACACATAATCTGTTCTATTACTCCCCCATAATATCCTCCGCTACGTTCCGGATAATTATTCATTTTTGATTTACTGATATTACTGTAAATTTGATCCAGTGTAACTTATCGGAATTGTCGACTCCGTATTATTGTAACTTTCTTACAATAAAAGAAAGAATATAATAAAAAATTGTAACTATTCTAACAAAACCATTTATTTTGGATTCGGAATATGAACGCCCGAATAAAGGCTTAAAAATATATATAAATTACATATCGTGTTTCGTCCTGATGTTTTAGATTTACAATAAAAAGATGAAATAAAATCAAAATAAACCAAAATAAAATAAAATAAAATAAAATAAAAACTATAAATATGTACATATATAATTTGAAAGTTAAAAAAGTGCAATAAAAACCACAGAATGAAAAAATAATGAAAAAGAACGAGCGATGAATATACATCGATGCTATCTACATTCAAAATACAAATACCATCATTATATACAGACCACCGATTTTCTTGCATTTCCCATTCCTTTAATTTTTTTTTTGATTTTTATAATTTAATTTTTTCTTTTTTTTTGTGTAATTTTTATTTTTATCAATATATCTATTTTTTATTTTTTTTATTAATACTTAACAAGGTTTTTTTTTTTTAAGCATCAGGACAGCACTAATATTAAATTGCTGGTTTTGGAATTTTGGAGACTACTGCTAAACGCTGCTAACACATTTTTGAAAATTGCAGCTAAATATTTTGTTATCAGAATTAAGCGCACCGTTTATCCGTTATATAAAAATGGTATTAATTATATGCACATAGTAAGTGCGTGAATAGGATATGTGCAGAAATATTAGAAATATTATTATAACTTAATTATGACAATATTGCAATTATATCGAACCAGCTTTTTTATAAAACTGTACTTACCATTTACATGATCTGATTAAAATTGCATCTTGTTCAAATCATTAATGATACACTTGTCAGTATCGCAACAGGTTGGTATGCAATGAGATATGCTTGGTGTATCATGGATATCATTGTATAACCAATTAACATGCTCGAAATCTGATAGGTAGCGTGACTTAGTTTCTTGATCAGAATTTTTATCACCTAATTACAAACAAGTTATTATAAACACACAACAGTACTTTTAACTTTAGTAACATAGAAAAAAGCTATACATAGCCAAATACATACTAGTCACATGGTTAAAACTTTCAACTAATGGTATAGGATCTAAGATTGCGACCTGTGCTTCAAAATATGCATCATTTTGCATAGAATATGTTTCAGACTCTTCATAAAATATGTCTGAATATATTCTTTGATTTGGTGAACTTAAAAAATCACCAGATTCTACATTCAATTGTGGTAAAATTGTATTAGGCAATTGTTCTGTATGCCAAGATACATATTGCATAGAATATGATTCGAGCTCTTCATAAAGCGGGCCGGAATTTGTAATTTGGTATGCTGAATTGGAAGGAGCACCAAATACTGTATTCAAATAGTAAATTTCTGGTAATCGTGTATTATTAGGTAATTGTTCTTTATGCATAGGTTCATGCTGCACAGAATATGTATCGGGTTCTTTATAAAGTAGATCTAAACATGTAATTTGGGTTGTTGAACTGGAAGGAACACCAGACACTGTATTCGAATTGTAACCTCCTGATAAAAGTATATCATTAGGCAATTGTTCTTTATGCCTTGGTTCAAGCAGAGATTTGTTATGCACCAGTTTTGAATGTTGCGATATTAAATTTTGAGATGTATCATTTAAGTTTAATTCATTTTTTATCATTTTTTCCATCTCTGGATATGGTAGTCTCCTGGGCTTGAATTTCTTATCAGTAATCGTCTCAGCTGTTACATTTACATATCTATAAGTTTTAGTTGAGGTATCCGAATTTGCCTTTTTTTGAATTACATCGACATCGCTCATAATTTACTAGAAACAAAAAAAAATAAAAGAAAAAGGCAAGTAAAATTTTTAGTTTCCAGTAAAAAGATCTCTTAAGTACAATTCTATTACTTTAATTTACTTTTATTTATTCTTAAAGTTTATTTTTGCATCTATTAAACATTACATGTTTAATGGTGTACAAAAAAAAACATTCGGGTATGCTAAAGCACAACTTTAAAATCAAACTGGTAATTTTCGATGGAATTACTAAGCATTTCTAACTGGTCGGTTAAGCTTCATGATTATTCAAGTACTTATTATAGAAATTCCTACATAAGATATTATTTCAAATTCATAAATTTATTCAAACAAACATATTCCCAACGAAGTAATCCCAACCTAGCATTTAATTTGTTTCTCAACAAAATTTATTCAAGATTTAACAGGAGGAAGCGTACCTGATCCAAACTGTTAGGGATTATATTTGTAACATTGGCGGTTAAGTGACCCCCTCATTGTGAAATTATCCAGGTGTGGGATTAAGTTTGGATCAGGTACGTTTCCTCCTGTTACTAGGTTTATTTTTACGCCGTTTAGCATGTATACAGGTGCGGAAATACCTATCTTAGCCAAAAAAAAAAACAAAAAAAAATTTGAATAACGCCGAAAAATAACTTTAAAAGGTAATGCCGCTTGTTCCACTATTTGCCCTGATACATATTACCTTTTCAGTCCCATACAAAAACATTTATCATGAATGAAAAAAACAAATACTATTAATAAATATCGTTTATATATACAGATATATTAGTTTTAAATTTAACACAAACATTTTTTGATTTGGAGTATGTAGCAATTTCAATCTAAGCTTTAAAAAAAAATTCTTTATTTGGTGCGCTTAATAATTGTTATCGTTATCTGTTATCATTTGAAGGAATTCCCTAATTTGGGGTCGGCTGAAGCAGAGTTAATTCAATATATGAGCTGCCGTCAATAGGAATCAAGCAGATTGATATTTTTTTAAAAAAATCAATTCCTTAATTTTCACAACAGTGAAAGTAACCCGTTAACCTAAATTACATCAGAATGGTAACTCTAAACTCGTTCTGCTTTAGCCGTTGGTAGCTGCGCGGTATAATCGCGTTAAAACCAATATCGTAATACTTTAAAATTGACAATCCTTAGGTTTTTTTAATAGTTTAAAAAACTTTCAAGGTTTGATTCTCTGTCTATATAATTTAAAACATAAATGTCGCCTACGTGCCCTTACCTGATTGGTAAGTTACAGATAGATTTAAAATTCAACATAGTTTTATAATTAACAGATTCGAAAGTTATTTAAAAAACCTGAAATCATGATTATTATACCTAAACAAATAAAATGCCTTTCAAGAAGGCCTTAAAAATTAAAATACTTAGGCTACATGAAAATTCAGTCTATTACAGCTGTTTTCATTATTTTTAGGATATCTGGTAAAAAAAATTGATGATAAGTTTTTGATTTCGGTAATAATCGGTTATATAATAATGTATATATCTTTGATAAATCGAAACGAGATTCTCAAATTGTTACACAAAATCTAATTGTGTAATTAATCATGGCGTCGTAGTACAAAAGTGGTAATTATAATAATCTTTACTACATTTAGTAATATTTATTATATGTAGTAATTATTATATGTAGTAAATTACTATATGCAGTAATTATTATTACATGTAGTAATTATTCTACACGTAGTAATTATTATTACATTTAGTAATTATTATTACATGTAACTATTACGTATCACATGTAATAATTATTACTACATTTATTAATTATGTTCTGGAGCTATAAAGAAATACTGCAACGTATCTAGTCGATAGAACTATTAAGTATAACGATAACGATAATAAAGTAATAGCGACGACCAAACTGTGAGAATTATTATGCATTAATTGGACAATCAGAATTACCGAAACAGATGGAAGATTGCATCACGTGATCATTGCGATCTCCACGGACACATCTTCCCCAGCGGACAAGCTACGGACAGTTCTTAGGGACAGTTTAAATCACGTGAATAGTTGTTATGGACAGTTAAGGTTTAGTGGTTTTAGCAATATCACGTGAATTTGACTGTCCATACTGTCCGTAAGAACTGTCCGTAGATCCTGCGCTTCCCCAGTATCGCCATCAAAATTTTCACCCCACGTGATATATCAGTACAATCTGTCGATCGATATAAATACAATCAAAATGTTGTATCGAGTCTACTTTGTCGCAACGGTAACTAAGAAGTGAAGGGGAAGAGGTGTTTTTTAAATTTCAGGTAGTTACTGTATGACAAATTGCTTTAAAAATGGTAACTTTAATTTAAAAAATTTTAATAAAAGAATAAAGCGACAAATAAAGTATTTCACAAATACTATTCAGGCATTACAATACAATTCAACTTAGGGAAAGGTTTGTTAAAATTTCAGGCCAGTTTATACTGTATTCTTATACAACTTTTGGAATGCCGAATGACTCTTATATTTTTAAAAGAAAGGAAAAAGGAAATAAAAATAAATAAATAAGAAAAAAGGTAACAAAAAAAAAGATGGATTAGAGATTTCAGGCACATATTGTAGTCGCTAATTCCTTCCAATCCTCGTGTAACCTACGGCGATTAAGTCGAAGTAGGCGTGTTAGATTTGGCTAGTTGGTTTATCCGTAGGTAAGTACTACTCTTCTCTTCTAAGTCCTTCCTTTATCCTATTCTTCTATTAACCCTTGCGGGGGTTATGATACGTCGAATTGGGTCTGAGTCCTTCTCGTGTTAAAGGATTGGTCACGTGTACTAATGTGCCACGTACGCAAAAACATTGTTTTGACCCACTTGGATTACATTTCTGACCCCCCAAAAAAATATAAATTAACCAATCAGAATAAAGAATTACTATAATACTAATAACATATTTATATCAAACTTACATCAACATTTCCAGTCTATAAATTATTTAATAAAAAAATATGCTTACATCAAACTTACATTAATATCCTCAGTTCTGTAGAAAATGTTAATGAAATTATTAGATTTCTTTTAGAAATAAATAAAATTTATACATGTATTCAAAATAAATATTAATTATATTAATAAAAAATGTTACTATAATTTTAAACTAAAAATATTGAACCATAAACTATGTGTATGTTTTAACTTTTTTTTTTTAAATATTAATAGTGAAGTTATGTTTTTAACTTTAATGAAATTCAATTGAAGTTTTTATAAAAAAAAACTTGTTTTTAAATTACATATGAAGAATAAAGGTTCAGATATATAATCTATGACTTAAACCTACAAGAGTAACTAAGGTTTATCTAGATTTGGGTGTTAGTAATAATATAGGAGCGAGAAATATAATATTTAATCCATTGAATAGTTCAAAGATCAATTTTGGTAATAATTTGTAATATTGAGATAGAGAGTAAGAGTAAACTAAAAAGAGAATTATAAATTAAGTTTGTAAGAGCTGTAATTTGAAACTGTGCAGAGCATGAAATATAATATAGAATATATATTTATTTATATATTTGTTGATTTAAATAAAGAAAAATTTAATAGAAAGAGAAGTAGTTGTATAATATAAAATAGAATTATTATGAATAGTGAAAATAAGGTCAATAAAGACTAAGCTAAATAAAATAGAAATAAAAGATAATATATATGAAACATTGTATAGTTTAAAGCTATTAAGTATAAGAATTTTTTAATATAAATTAGAAACAAGATTAATAAACATATCAAGAACAGTTATATTTAAGATGCAATTAAGAGAATTAGAGATTAAATAGTAAATTGTTTGAATAGAAGAACAAAAAGTCCAGTGTAATAAAAAGCTAATTTGATTGTATTAGTGATAGAAAGAAGAATAAGAGAAATTATATTTATAAAGAATATGAAAAACAGATAGTTTATTCAAGAAAATTTTAATATAAAAAGTTTTTAAAATAAAAAAATAAAAGCTGTGAGCAAAGTTAGAAACTTTTTAATTATTATTAATATAAAGCCAAATAGTTTTTTAATTAATATTAGATGCAATAATAGATTATTATTGAAAATGGTATTGAGATGTTCAAAGTGTTATAATATAAGCTTAACAAATAGTATGAATAGAACATCAAATAGGAATCTTAATAAAAAATTAGTTAATAAATAAAATATAGGTAGAATTATAAAGATTATTAGTTATGAATATTAAAAAGAGTAGTATTTAGTAATTACAAGCAAGTTGGTTAACAAGATTATTAAATAGATCATCTTGATATGCAGTGACTTGGTAAAAAATAAGCTAAATATTATATGAATTAATAAAGTTGATAAAAATTTGCCAAATAGAGAAATATGAAATATAGATATAAGAAAGTTTAGATGCTAATGAGTAGATATTGTAATATTTAGAAATTTAATTATAAATTAATAAAAATATAAATAAACCAATTTATAAAAGCAATAATGATTGCTGAAAGAATAACAAGAATTTCAACTTTAAAAAAGCTACTAAAGTTTAATTTATGTCTGAAATGAATAAATACTTGTTAAGTTATTAACTTAAACCTAACCTATGTCTATAGAGTATTGAGAAGTACCAAGCTTAATAATAAAACTATCAGTATAAAATAAAATAGTAATTAGATTATAATTAGAGTTAGCAATAGACTATAAGCTATTAGTAAGTTGGTTTAACTAAAAAATTCAAGATAATTATTGTTGATTAATTGTTAATAAAAAAGAGTATAAAATATATAAAATTATAACAATATCTAAAACTTTCAACTATATCTTATACTGTATATAAGTCAAATCTTTTAGTTAATGATATGTTGATATATTATTATTTAAAAATAATAATTAGTTTAGCTATAAAAATAATTTTATATATGTAAAAAAGTACTCAAACAATACAATATATTCAAATATATACTTTTAATAATATATTTTGATTTTTATTACCAACATTTACATAATGAAATTTGTTTTATACATTATTACAATAATTTTAAAACAAAGAACAAT